AAACACACGACACAAACTATCAGCTATTTCCTGATGTTCACTGAATGTACATAAAAGAAGCAGGATCCTGCCCACTGTCTTCTTATCTCAAGTTAAAGGCACTCAAAGCTCTTGAATAGGGCCTCCCTGCCAGTTATATGTGAACCAGTTTTCTCTGTGCGGTTGCATCCCCTGAGAGAACTTGATGCAGGGAGTTCTGTCCAGAGCGCCAGATGAAAGAATAGAGGCCACTGGAGGGGATTACTGTCATAAACCCATCTCCTCCTCACCCCCAATCTGTAGAGGAATGTGTTTTCATATGCCTATCTGCCCGTATGTGATGGTGGTAGGAATGATGGAATTAGAATGTTCTAAAACTTCTTCTCCAATACTTTGGCCACTTCATGAGAAGAGAAGACTCCCTGGAAAAGACCCTGATGTTAGGAAAGTGTGAAGAAAAGAGGAGAAGGGGATGACAGAGGACAAGATTGTTGGACAGTGTCATCGAAGCGACCAACATGAATTTGACCCAACTCCAGGAGGCAGTGGAAGACAGGAGGGACTGGCGTGCTTTGGTCCATGGGGTCACGAACGGTTGGACACGACTTAACGACTAAATAACAACAACAAAACTTATTCTAAGAGCCTCTTGCACTATGGTAACAGAGATGAATTATTTTTATGACGTACAAAAATAAAGGTTGCAGCTGGGAGAAGCCCTGTTGAATGTGTGTTGAACATACGTCAGGGTAAAATGTAGAGGACTGTGGCATAAGAGTGGCACCATGACTGTTGGGTCTTGGATTTATGGTGTATGCTTTGAGGAAATTGCAGGTTCTACCCTCGCTTGGCCCTGTGTAAAATGGGAATACAAACCCACCAGGAATGGTTGTTGTAAAAAGAAGCAGAAAACATGCACTTTACTTCCTTCTCATTATTTCTGCAAGCGGTTCAGGACAGAGCAGATGTTATGGCTCTATTTTCCCTCACAACAGCCCTGCAAGATAGGTTGATGATGGGACAATGACTACCCACTGCATTTCATAGCTACCCAATGAATTTCACACCCAAGAGGAGATTTGTAACCATATACTGTAATACACACAGCAAAAGTCTAACAGCTGACGTTGCTGCAAGATTTTAGCCATCTCTGTGCCTTTTTGAAGCATGTATTTCCTATCATTTTGCACAGTTGTAAGCTCAGTTATTCTGAATAAAAGCTAGAATTGTTTCCTTGAGAGGGTAAGGGATTTTAAATATATATAAAGATTTAGGATTCATCTGGGCTACATTAAAAACATAAAGCTTCTGCCGTAAACCAGTTTTCACTAAGCTCTGGAAGAATCAGGCCAGAATTTAAGGCCAAGCTTGAATCTTATCCCTTGTAATCATGGAATTGTTCTCACAGAGGGCAATAATGTGGAAAGGTCCCTAAAGTAAGCTGTGTTTAAGAAGATAATAGAAATGCTGTGCCTTTAGTATAGATACGGATATTTATGTGGGACCAAGACTGATCAATGCATATTCAAAAGTATGAGCGGTTGGTGATCAAGCCAGAAAAATGCCAGGAATAATTTGGGGGAATGCAGGCAGTTGTAAGTAAGCAGCCCACATTTTTTTTAAAAAAAAGGTCTCAAGCAAATGCTCCTCAGTTCAATAAGTGACAGCCTGAACCTCCATGTGCATAATCTATAAGTATAATATGAATGGTTGGATTTTAATGCATTTATTTCATTTGCATTCTTGTCCTTTTTCTGAGCAGCACAGGATACAGTACATGGAGTAAGCCTCTATTCTCCCTCTCTCTCTTTTAAAAATCCTCAAAATGGCCCGAACAAGTAGCTGGCAGAGAATAACTGGCCCGGAATTAACCAGGTGACTTTACAGGTGGGCGAATGGTTGAATACCACCATAAGGCCCTGCATACAGTGCTCTTTCTAAGTTTGAGAACTAAGCAGGCCCAATCAGTACTTGGATGGGAGATCACCACTGAATGCTGAAGATTCCTCAGTTCAGATGAGGAAAGATTTTTTTCTTAAAACCTTTCAGAGCTGCTGCTTGTTAATTTGAACAGCCTATCCTAATTCTTTTCTCCCCCCTTTCTTGTTAATCTCTCCTTAATTGGGCTAAAGGGGCCTACTCTCTGACTCAGTGTAAAGCAGCTTCTTATGGTCCTATGAGAGATAGGCAATAAAGCAGCTTCTTATGGTCCTATGAGAGGTAGTGGATAGAATGACAGAGTAGGATTCAGGAGGCCTGGGTTCAAATCCTTGTTCAGCCACTAGGGATGTGGAACTGGTAAAACAACCCCTGAAATATCCGATTTATGTTGAAAGCCTTATTTGTTAGTTATGCGCCATCAAATCAGAACCAACATATAGTGCTGGAACTGGTAAAACCACCCCTGAAATATCCGATGTATGTTGAAAGCCTTATTCGTTAGTTATGCGCCATCAAATCAGAATCAACATATAGTGACCCTCATAGAGCTTTCCAGGTAAGTGAGATATTTAAGGGGTGGTTTTACCAGTTCCACTCTCCCTGTGAGTTTCCATGGATGAGCAGAGATTTGAACGCAGGTCTCTTGAGTCCTAGTCTGCCACTCTATATACTACACCACAGTGGGTATGAAGGTCCTACTAGGGTTGCTACAACTCATTTCTGACTTGACAGCCCCTAAGGATAACCAATTGTTCTGTGAGTCTGGAACAGGCTGAGTCAGAGCCACCATTGATTCTGGTACACTACTTTGTCTTTTCCTGTGTTGGAAGCAGCTGGCAGGTGTAAAGAATTCACGCCTGTCCGGACTGTTTTCCTATCAACTTTGCCCTGTGTAGATGACTTCTGTTTTCTCTTCCCTTCACATCATCAGTAAGGGGTGAGAACCAAAAATCCATGGTGCCATCTTTCAACGCTGACGAGTAACATCAGAAGCAAAGGACTGAATCCCGTTTTAGTCCCAGCTAATAAAGCAGACCCCCCCCCCTGAAACGAACAAGATGCATTAGTCAGCACTAACCGAAATTCCAATAATTTCAAAGGGTGTAAGCTAGTTAGGACTAAAATTGGACTTTGCCCATAGAAGCCTTGTTTTGTTCATTCTGTAGTGACTTTAGAACAGGACAGGGTAGCTGTTAAAGGATGGTAGAGATGCTGTTATAATGTAATTCTGTTTTGTGAGAGACTCACTTTATAACTCACTCCCTTCTGCCCCCCCATCTCTTTGTCTCATGTGCACCTTCTCTTTCTTCTCCCAGACACATGGAGTCTCTGTGGCGAGCCTATACTGCCAGAAAAGCAATATAATATGAGATTCATCAGAATATTTGCCCTTCTCCTCCGAATTATTTTTGTAGAACTGTTAGTGATACAAGCCTTCTCAAAACTGAGCATTCATTTTCATAGTGCCTCCCAATATAAATGCACCTGTCAAATTAAAATGCAGGTTTAGTGTATTTGCACCAATTGATTTAATTGTATAGGCAAACCTCAGTTTTGCATTAGAGCATAATAAAATTTGCTTGGGGGACATTATGACAATTAGCTTTGTTGTGTATCATATAATGCCAACTGTGAATTGAACATGAGTAGGATAGCCTTTCTCTTTACCCTCTCTGCTTGGACTTAAGTCTAACTGTTTGTAAGGATGCTTAACTATCTGGAGATATAGTGCACATCAAATTAATGTGTATCAGACAACCACAAAACCCAGTTCCATTCCCTTCATTGGTGTTGACTTTTCTAACTCTGAAAAAAGTGCAATTCTGATAGCCTTCCGAACGCCCTGAATTCCCTTCCTACCTTGAAGAAGCCTGTGATAGCTCTTTCTTGCCACTCATGGTGGTATCCAGAGACAATCAGGCCACGTCAAGATTTGAATGACTGGCTATCACACCGCTGGCAACCAGAGGAGGACAATCTGGCAAGAGCAGTGGGAGACAACACACATCTGTGCACATAGTTTCAGCATCCTTTGTAATATTTAAAAGGAACTTGAGACACATCCCTGAATATCAAGCTAAACAAACTTTTAGCACGGTTTTAGAAGTGGTACTCTTCTAAAATACATCTGATTTTAAAAGCAGATATTTTTCTTTGCCAATGGATCTTGCATTTAGCTTGCTTTATTTTATGACTGGCATTGGAAGTTAACTATGGGCTCACTTTGCAAGTATGATAGCTGAGACATGCACCTCTGGCAAAAAGGCAGTGCAGGAGGGGAAACACGGGTTAATTGTAGGGAACTTGTACAGTATTCCCCTTGATGTCTCGTTTAATGCAGAAACTGTTTATGGCAATATGGCTTGGGCTAACTCAAGCAACGATTAAGTTAGAATGTATGGGAAGAATGATATATTTCTATTTTTCTTACTGCCCAGAGAGCATCTTATGCATGTGAGCAATCTGAATCATTCATCACATCTATTAAACTGTGTTTTTAATTGCAATGATAAAATAAGTCTGCTTAGGTAGGTTATTGGGCAGTAGCATGTCAAGTTACAATGTGGCAGATAATTCAAATGAGCTGCCAGTGATATTTGCTAAGCCATCTTGACTGAGGACGCAGGTTACCAGCACTGTACAAGCGTAGTTGTGTGAATTAAACCTGACAGAAGTGGAGATTTAAACAAAGGCACATATGAAACAAGAAAAATAAAAGAGATGATTGAGGATGGAATCCTATACTCTGAAACTTGGGAGTAAGTCTGATTGAATTAAATGGGGCTTACTTCTGAGTAAACAGGTAAAGGGTTGTGCTGTAAATTTTGCAAGTTACTATATTTTTGCAGACAATCCCGCTATCGAAATTTAAAGGTATCTAAACCCTTTTTAAATCAGAAATTGAATGATGTTAGTTTTCTGCTGGAAAAAAATGGGGGAGGGCATTTTGAGCTGAAAGCATGTATGACTAATAGATAATAGGATTGCTTAAGCTTTTGTAATATTATGTAATATTTAAATTTCTGTTGATTTTCTCCATTTCACATGTAGTAATTAATTTTGTCTTACTGACAGATGATTCTCAATGACTGATTTTCAAGAGAAAATCCAGACAGGTATTTTTAATACTTTGTTTTCATTGAAGATGGCTTGCATTTGTGTTATATATATCTTTTTCCCCCATGTTCCTTAAGGGGGTAATTATTCAGATTGTTCTGTGATTTAGTATTGTACAAATATATAAATAAGTCCCTTATTTGTAACCTGGTGATAGTTTGCCAAAAGGGCAGAGAAGTGTGCAATTTTATCTTGCAGTGAACAAACCACTTATGGTCTCTCTCTGTGTGTTCATAGACACATAGGTCTTTTGCAAACACCTAGATACAATGTCAAACTCATTGTGATGGGTAGTACCCACTATATCAGGGATGGCGAACTTATGGCATGCGTGCCACAGCTGGCACACAGAGCCCTCTCTGTGGGCACACGAGCCTTAAGTTGCCATCAAGAAATACTTACCCGTCCTCCGATCCTGGATTTCGGCACTCCCCTCGGCTAGTGCAGTGGTCTAGTGCACTGGTTCTTAACCTTGGGTTACTCAGGAGTTTTGGACTGCAACTCCCAGAAGCCTTCACCACCAGCTGTCCTGACTGGGGTTTCTGGGAGTTGCAGTTCAAAAGCATCCGAGAAACAAAGGTTAAGAACCACTGGTCTAGTGGAGGGGTGCAATGGCGACCATTACCGGTCTAGCCCAATGGGGGATTGGAGGACCAGTAAGTATTTATTTGTTAATGCCGCCCATAGGGAAAAAAAAAAGAGAGAGAGAAAAACCAAGCATTTAACCCTTGCAGTGCAGGAGCAGTTCTTTTTTTTTCTTCTAAACTAAAACCTCAGCATTCGGGTTTTAATTGCAGTATTGGCACTTTGAAATCAATAAGCTGATTTTGTGTTGCAGTTTGGGCACTCGGGCTCAAAAAGGTTCACCATCACTGCACTATATAAATGAGATTCTCCCATTGAAATGAAAGGAGGAAACCTGTGAACAATAAATCTCCATGTGTATGTTGGGGTTTATGCAGATTATGACAGTGGGGAATGTAACTATATATATATTCCTTCACCACCCCCATAGCTAGATATAGTGCCCAGAATTGAATTAAGATTTTCCGTCAGAGTAAGGGAAATCACCTTAACCGTACAGGCATATTATGACTAGTTTTCAAGTGCTGGTTTCATGTCTGGTTATGTGTGATACCTACAATAGACACATGGCCAACATTTTTTTTTTGTTATTTCCTTGCAATTTGATGCTACACCCTGCATGATTTCACTTAGTCCTGAGTAAAATCCCGATTGAATTCTGGCCACTACTGAATGATCTATGCAATTGAAAGAGTTATTTTCAGGTTATCTTTCTGAGAGTCAGGGCTGTTCCCCACCGTTAGCCAGAGTGAGACAGTGGCCTTAAGCAGAAGATTTTAAGTACTGTGAAAGAACAGGAAATTGATAGTTATTTAATTTATTATTGTTATACTGATGCTGCTAGGTTTGAATAGAGATTTTGTACCACATGTCACAAAAGAAAGCAAAATGCTTTGGGTTGTCTGAATCAGGAATTGAGGTGGGTTGTTTGCTTGAAGTCTCAAAGTGTACTGGCCTAATAAAAGTTGGATGACACATTCAGGATCATTACATGGTGGAATCAGGAATTGAGGTGGGTTGTTTGCTTCAAGTCTCAAAGTGTACTGGCCCATTCCTAATAAAAGTTGGACGACACATTCAGGATCATTACATGGTTCAACCTTTGCTGGAGTATCCTTCAGATCTTGTCCTGTTCGATTTCTGTGCTATCAACAATTCTTGATATGCTAGTTCTCCATATGCAAGAAATTGTCTGCTTCCCATGAACAGATTATTTAATCTGGTTTCTCACCACCTGCAGTGTGAAGTGATTGTATCTAGGAAAGCTGTACCATATGCTGGATCTAAAATATAAAAAGATCTAGAAAGTTAGTCTTAATATGCTGTCACTTTTCCTTTCATTACTTCTGTTCTAGCACATCCTCTTCCCCGTTGTTCACATCCAGGCTTTTCTAATCTGATTTATTTTTCTCCATTGAGATGAACAGCTTTGGCCATATCTCTTGGTTTCTCCATATTTATTGTATGTGGTGTAATAAAAATGGGACTTTTGGCATTGACGTCTCATTGACCCTGCCATACCCACAATCGGCTTCCAGAAGCCCTGTCCCTTGTATGAAGTGGGACTCATTAAGACTAGAAGCTGTGCCTTCACACCCATATTCCAAGGCTATGAAATGATCTCGCGTGAAGGTTTTCTGCTCCTCTCACTACTAACTTTCAGGAGCAGTTCCGAGAAACATCTGTTTTGCCCATTCATTTTGTTCACAAGTTGGTTTGGGTTTTCTTTGATTTTATATTGGAAAAGTTGAGGCAGTTTGGATAACAGTTTAAAGTGCTGATATTATTATTGAATAATGCTGAACTAAAGACTAGTATAACATACAGCTTTTTATGCAGTGAGCAACCAGTAACAAGTACATTTTAGCTGTTTGAAACAGAACATGAATCTTAGGTTTCAAAAGAACCAAATAATACATCATGTTCTGCTAAAAAGCGAATGCATCAATTATTTATTGGTTGGTTTAAAATATTCTTATCCCGCCTTTCTTCTTAAAAGGACACAATAATCTCTTGGATTCGTGAACTGAAATATGAACAAATCTTTTAGATGTATATTAAGCCCCTTTGCTTTTCCTCATGAAATTCCGGGTGATCCAAGTAGGAGCTTTCCATTAACTACAGATGCCTCTTTCTTCTAACATCAGGAAAGTATGCAGCCTAGCCTTACCTGTCACCCCCATGTTGTGCTTGGTGTGAATGGTCCAAATCAGAGAGAACATGGAGATGGCCACCAAGGGCACATGGCAGTGCCAGTGCCTCTAACGAACACGGTTACTGGCTGCCAATTAGCTGGTGAAAAACAAAGGGCAAGGAAATGGCAGGCAGGTCAGAGGGAAGCAGTTTTCCCATTAATCCAGTGTTTCCCAATCTTGAGTCCCCAGATGTTCTTGAATTAAAATTCCCAGAAGACTTTTCCACTAGCTATGCTGGCCAGGATTTCTGGGAGTTGCTGTTGAGGAACACCTGGGAACCCAAGGTTGGGAACCAGTGTCCTAATCCATCTGTCCTTTGTTTAAAAGGGAGCTAGCTGGCTGGGCATCTAGTGCTTCTCTTTCTTGTACAGTGGAAATGCAAAGACAGCTGCTTATCTCAGCTTTAAAAGCTACGTGACCTCTAAAGCAGTGGTTCCCAACTTTGAGTCCCCAGATATTATCGGACAGCAACTCCCAGAAATTCTGGCCAGCACAGCTAGTGGTGAAGGCTTCTGGGAATTTTAATTCTACACTATACTTGATCTTAGCCAAAAGGCCAAGAAATACTGGCTGCCAATTAGCTGGTGAAAAACAAAGGGCAAGGAAATGGCAGGCAGGTCAGAGGGAAGCAGTTTTCCCATTAATCCAGTGTTTCCCAATCTTGAGTCCCCAGATGTTCTTGAATTAAAATTCCCAGAAGACTTTTCCACTAGCTATGCTGGCCAGGATTTCTGGGAGTTGCTGTTGAGGAACACCTGGGAACCCAAGGTTGGGAACCAGTGTCCTAATCCATCTGTCCTTTGTTTAAAAGGGAGCTAGCTGGCTGGGCATCTAGTGCTTCTCTTTCTTGTACAGTGGAAATGCAAAGACAGCTGCTTATCTCAGCTTTAAAAGCTACGTGACCTCTAAAGCAGTGGTTCCCAACTTTGAGTCCCCAGATATTATCGGACAGCAACTCCCAGAAATTCTGGCCAGCACAGCTAGTGGTGAAGGCTTCTGGGAATTTTAATTCTATACTATACTTGATCTTAGCCAAAAGGCCAAGAAGCGATAATTTTAATTCAAGAACATATGGCAACTCAAGGTTGAGAACCACTGGTCTAAAGTGATATGGCAGCTTTCTTTGGACATATTATAATAATAGTTTCAAAGCCACCTTAAACCATGGAGAAGAAATACAAAGTTGTTACACGTCAATAACACAGCAAATATAAATCAAGCACCCGCCATCCAAGTAGGTCAGTAAGAGAGTATAGCGCTTATGTGGAGTCACAAGGATTTAAAAAAGTAGACCCATAGTGCAGAGCTTGGAAAAGTTACCAATACCAGCCGAGAGGTTCTGGAAGCATAACCCAAAAAGTAATTTTTCTAATCTCTCATATTCTCTAATTAATGTTTGCCCTAATCAGCATGTACAGAAAAAAGAAATTGGAAATGTTGGTGATAAGTGTTTACTGTTTCATTAGACAATGCTAGTATGTCATACAAATATGTCTTAAGTCTTGTGTAGAGGTACCTGGGTTTTATGCACACTCTGCCAGAAAATACCGCCTGCAGGTTTACGGACAAATGTATTTAGTACTCTAATATTTTCCCCATGGTGACTAAATGGATAGTGCACTTGAGTATATCCTTGATAGTTGTGAAGCATCATTTAGTCTTAACGCCACATAATCTCCTCCAGTTTATCAAGTTGTAGTCTATTGTGAATTTGGGAAGGGGGAAAAACGACAAACGGCATGCCGTTTCACACAGCCTACTTCTGAGTTGTCTTGTTCATATGCATGCCTGCACACACACGTGTGTGGTTTCACATCATATAATGAAGTTATATAGACCGTTGTTTTTTCTGAAAATAATTGTCTAGAAGGTAAAACTGGCATTACTGATTTGGAGTTAGTACTGAATCTGTAAACTTTAAAAACAACACATGCGAAGTTGTATTGGGGGGGGGAAATGGAGATGCCACTTGTCTTTCTGCTTTAGAAAATATGGGTGATGCATCTTATGTGTAAGAATAATGATGGAAAGAAAAGTTTCTTATTCTCATCAGTTTGGACTTTATCAATGGGCCATGACAGAGAGATAAGGACTTTTCAGGCCTTACAATAGGCTTTTTCACCAGCACAATAGTGTAATAAGGAATTGTGCAGTCTACGCAAAACTCTTTCCCTTTAAGAAGCAAAGTGCATGTAGGAGCAGATACAGCTGATTGTTAA